GGAATGCGGGCGGGGGTTGGTTTTCGCGGCTTTCCGGTGTAGGAGGCGAGTTCGGTCCTCGTTCATGGCTGGCATGGAGTGTGGACGATGGGAGAGTGGGATGGAGTCGTTTGTGGGGGCATAATTTCGGCCTGTGGGGTCCCTCTGTGTCCACAATCGATGAGGGGAGGCGAGACGAAGGGCGGTGGCGCAACGGATGCACGACCGCGTTGCCCGCGACCCTTCGCCTTTCGTCTCGCCCGCCGCGATGACCCTGCGTTTTTCTTGTGTTTTGGTGGAGCTTAAAAATGACCCTCGGCTGGCCTTCGCGCTGTGTCTGTGCTGCTGTCCACCCCGCGTGACACGTGTTTATAAGGACGCGGGCATTCTGCGCAAATGCACGACAACACTCTCTCTCTCTTTACCTCACGCAGTCCCCGCTGCCCGTCGCGCTTGTTCTGCTTTTGGTCGCAGTCCTCTGCGCCACTCGAGTCGCCTTCGTAGCCTGCATCCGCGCCTTCGTCGCCATCGTCGCCATCGAGCCTTTTTGTTCAACATCGCCGCCGTCATCGCCATCGTCACCGCGTCCGTCGCCAACGTAGTTCTCTTCACTGCTTGCGTCTTCTTCGCAGTCATCTTCGGCGACATTCTCCTCGGCGAGCACGTCTTTTCGCCTGTCGTCTTCACTGCTATAGTCGCCTTTCCGTAGATCCTCGCCTCCTTCGTCCAGATTGTCATCGTCACCGCGAGTGCGTCTTGCGCCATGTCCTCACGCGCTTCCGCATGCGGTAAGGCCGCCGCCAACCTCTCACAACAACCGGCGACCCGGGAGAAGAAGGGCCGCCATATGGCCAGCAAGAAGAGGAAGATCCTCGAAGGCGCCCCGGCACATGGAGGTTACGTGCTGGATGAAGAGTGGGTGCCGGAGGACGTGGCGACGCAGGAGGGGACGGATTTCGAAAACTCTGACGACATGCCGTTGCAGCGAAAGTCGTCCAGGCGGGGGAGTGGCGGCATCCGCATAGACGACGTTGGCGAAAGACGACGCGCAGGAGGGTGGCCAGCACCGGAAGACGTGTCAACGTTGACGCCGCGACGGCAGCCAGAGAGGGCGGGGGAAATCGCGCGCCACTGCCACGTATGACTCCACCAACCGACGCGCAAGAGGGCGTGGTTCGCTTACGGACACCGCTGACACCACGCTCGAGGACGGCTGCAAACGTGGCCTTGTCGGGCAGCGGGTGGGGGGGGATCGCACACGACGGAAGTGGCGAGGGCAGGCGGGGCAGCAGCGGGGGGG